TGAACCTTCTGCTCGTCCTCCTGCATCTGCCTCCTCATGTCCTCCCCATCTGAGGCCGAGGAAGAGGTCCCCTCCAGCAGCCAGCGCTCCCTCAGGGCCTTGGACTGTGCAGCAGGGGTCAGGGTCAGGTCAGGACTGGGGTCAAGGTCAGGAGTGGGGTCAGGGTCGCCACCCAGGCCCCGTGGCCCCTCCCGCGGACCTTGAGGTGCTGCAGCTGCCTCCTGTCCTCCTCCAGCTGCCGGCGCTTGCCCTCGATCTCCGCCTGCCTCCTCCGCCTCTCCTGGTGGGGTCACAGGGTCAGCCGCGGCCACAGGCCCACACCCCTCCCAGGCCCCGCAGGCCTGCGTCCTCTGGGAGTGAGGGTGGCGCTGGGCCTGCCGTCCCGCCCCAGACCCCGGCCCCGCCTCCCGTCCCTGGTGGGTAGGACTCACTGCAATGGCCTGCAGCCGCTCCTGCTGGGCTGAAGCATCCACCTCGAGGACCCTGGGGGTGAGACAGGTCACRCTGGTCCACTCTGCTTCCAGCCAGCCCTGGTTCTGCCCTTGTGCATGGACAGTCTTGCTACTGACCCTTTCCCTCTGGAGAGTGGGCCCTTCCCTGCCCCTCAGAGGCAGCGGTCACTCTATCAGCCTCTGAGGTCATTAACTCACTGGGCAGACCCTCCAGCTCCCTGGGCAGGGCCAAGGGAGGGACAGACTGAGAGAGGTGCACAGGAGGTGACCAGCCCCGCCCACCGATGGGTCTGGGCAAAGGGGGACGCACAGGAGTCCGCCAGACACAGGGGCCAGAGAAGGGCACTGCAGGGAGCAGGCCGGGTCAGGGTCAGGACTCACCACCCAGAGGGGAACCAGACGGCCCAGGCCCTGGGTCTTCTAGCGCTTCCCACACCCGGAGCCCCAGAAGGCCCAGAGAGGGTGTGAGCCTTCCAGGCACACAAGGAAGCACAGCACRGGTCCTGGCTCTGGTCAGGGAGCCTCCACAGCCGTCTCCAGGGCTGGTGTGCAGCAGGTGCTCAAGAAGCGCACAGGGCCACACGCACCCAGGGACAGGGCTCTGAGCCGCTGGAGGACCCTGGAGAGCTCCTGCTCCCTGACCCTGTCTGCCCAGCCTCTGCTCTGGCTGGCCAGAGAGCCTGCCTGCGGTGGGAGCCCGGTGAGTGCTGGGGACGCTGCTGGCCCGTCGCCTCTGCTGCTGCAGAGCCAGAGAGCCAGCGCCCGGGGCCCGAGGTCAGCTGCCCGTGTGGCCGCCCAGGCAGGCCTGGCGGCAGGGGAGCGAGGCGCCGAGGGAACAGACCCCCCGACTGCCGTCCTCCCCTCCCAGCCTCACCTCTCAGAAACCGAGGACTGCCCTTGGGCCGGCTGCTGTCCTCAGCCCCCTTGGCACGTCAGCCCTGGTGCCCACCAGAGTCCCCATGTGCCCAAGTGAGGAGTGACAAGTACCTCTAGTCCCAAGACTTCCCCTGATATCCCAGAGTTGGCCAGGAAGCAGTCCCCAGCCCCCCACCACGCTGGCTCCACCTCAGCCTGGAAGGGGGACCGACAGACAGCCCAGCTGCAGTCCCTGGGGGACAGACAGACAGCCCAGCTGCAGTCCCTGGCCTGACCCCCGGGCTCCCCCGCCTCACCAGGACTGTGGAGTCACCCTGCTCCCAGCCCAAAGGCGACCCTGCCCAGACCCTCCCTCCCTGGCAGGCAGCACCTCTCGGGATGCCAGGTTTGGCGGATGGGGCTCAGGAAAGGTTTGATCCAGTTTTCCGACGTCAGGTTCTTCCTGAAGGSCCGGGGCAGCTAGGGCTCTGGGCCTGCCCTGCTGTGATGCAGGCTGGGGTGTCCCATTCTACTCCCCACAGAGATCTGTCCCCCCTTCCTGCTGGCCCCTCATTTCCCCGCGCCAGCCCAGGCCTCTACATCTCCTGCTGCCTTAGCCTGGCCCACTCTCAAACCAGGCAGCTTTTCAAATGAGAGGTGGCCCTGTCACTCCCTTGCCTAAAGCCTCCCTGTCCCGTCACTCCCAGGACGGAGCCAGTCTGGAGCCTGGCAGGGCCCAGCCTCTGTGGCCTCTCCACCCTGCCCCTCTGGCCGGCCCTCCTGTCCTGTGGCCCCGCACGCTGCGCAGAGCTCACCCCTGAGCAGGGCTGCCTCCCATTTGCTGGGTCCCGAGTGGCCGGAAACCACTCCAGAGGACAAGACCAGAGGTGGCCGAGTGGCCTGCAGCGGTCACTGTCCCTGAGAGCCATCCTGCAGACTCCCTTTCCAGTTCTGAGGTAGCAGGCAGAGCTGGGGCGGGGGCCGACCCAGGCCTCTAAGACCCTGAGGCACCCGGGGCCGCCCGGTGGGCAGTCCAGTGCCCTGTCCCCACCCTGGCAGTCAGGTGGCCGTTCAGACCGGACACAGGGACGGCTGTAGGGCCAGCTTGCCAGGCTGGAGACAAGGCGGGTAGTGTCCTGGCTGGGGCGGACTGTCCCCTGGGCCAGGGCAGGGGAAGGTCAGGCGGGCACAGAGAGGCGCCTGGACCAGGCTCCGGGAGAGGCCCGGGAAGTGCGTTTCCCCCCTCGAGGCCCCACCCCGGGCCCCATCCCAGACTGCGAGCCCAGACCGTGCGCCCCTCCCTCCCCCCCAGCCTGGGGGCGCCAGAGCCACCCGCCGCGCCCCCGGGCGCCACAGCGGCGGGTGATGGATGGAGGGCCCGCGGGAGGCGGTCGCCTTGGCAACGCGCTGTCCCCATGGCAACAGGGAGGCCCGGCACGCGGGGGCGGGGCCGAGCATCTCCGCCCCCAGACGCGCGGCTGGGGGGCGGCGCGGCTTCCTGCAGGGGCCTCAGGGGCCGCCTCTAGGGTGCGGGGTTTGTCCACCCCGGGGCTGCCAGAAGGGTGGGCTTCCCGCCCCCGAGCATCTACGGGAGGGGCAGGATAAAGGCAGCGAGGCGAGACTAGAGAGGCCTCATCTGCACCTGGACATCAGTAAAGGAAAAGGGCGCTGAGCGCTAGTGCGGTAAAGTGAGGCTGTCCTCCTGGGACGCCCTGCCTCCCGAGGACACTGCCCGCCTCTTCACCCGTGAGGGACTGAGGCTGTGGAGGGGCAAAGCGGGTCTGCTACCCGAGGCCCTGCTCTGTCCAGGGCCAGACCCAGCCAGGCGCCCCACGGCCCGGATGCGGGGTCTCCTGGAGGCCTGGAGAGGCGGAGGCCCCATCACAAAGGGTCTTAGTGCAGGAGGAGAAGCTGGTTTCGCTCAAGGCACGAGCATTCAGAAGAGAGCGGCAGCAGCCCCCGGCTGTGTGATCCCAGGCAACCCACTCCTCAGCCCTGAGCCTCGCCTGCCTCTGGGCGGTGGGCAGCAGCTCTGAGCTGCTGGGGGAAGACGCTGCACCTGGGTGCCCACCATCGCGTGGGCAGGCGTCCTGTCCGCGCGCTTATTTTAACGGCGCTGGAAGCAAAATCTGGGCTGAGCGCGGTGCTGTGGGCGGCTCAGGGCTGAGGGTGTGGCTGAGGCTGAGAGATACTCCAGGCTCCAGGAGATGAGCTCATGGGGACCCAGCCCAGGGACAGCAGGCAGGGGCCTCCACTTTGCAGAGCATTTGTTTTTTAAAGGCCCAGAGAGGTTATGCAACAGGCCCAAGGTCACCCAGCGGGCAGGACGGCAGTCTGGAGGTGTGGGGGTGCAGTGCGTCTCCCCACGGGCCTGGCCCTGGCAGCAAGCGCTAGGCTGGCAAGAATGTGAGGGTCCCATCCCGGGGCAGGCACTGGGCCCAGTGTCCAGAACATTCCTGTGCTGACTGAAAGAAAGCAGCTGACAGTGACCTTGGCCAGGCAGTGGGAGAGTCACGTGGCCCCGGGAGTGAGGTGCCCAGAGCCCCTTCCCACTGTGGGCTGGTGAGGGCAGGCCTCCTCTCACCTCTCTGGTCCCCCCCCTGGACTCCCAGGACGGCGTCCACCCGCTGCCCTGCCGCATCCCCAGCCTCCCCCTCCCCCAGACCAGCTCTTTCAGTCAGGGCCTGGCCCCTGGCCCYGGGGGCTCAGCCTCCTCCTCCCCTCCTCCACCTGCCAGCTCAGCCACCTCTCCCGGGAAGCCCTCCTGGATCTCTGGCCCCTCAGCCCTCCTCGGAGGCTTCCCAGGGCCCCACCACACCTGTGAGAACAACTCACCACCCACGGAAAACTCTAGAAGCATCACCTCAGGGCAGAGGGGGCCAGGGCAGGCCACAGACCAGAGAATCTAATCTGTGCCCCCCCCCAGCCTGGGATGGGGAGGAGMCGCACCCTGCCCTGGCCCTCACAGCAGGGAGGGGGCAGACCGCTGAGGCCTGGCGGTTCCTCAGAGGCCACCTCCGCACGGAGCCTCCCCTGACCACCTAAGTTTTGCCCCCAGCACCTCCAAGCCCCCATCCCACCCCAGAACACAGGATCCAGACCAGAGATCGGGGAACTCCATGATGTTGCTTTTTCCTGTCTCCCCAACAGGACAGGGCTGTGCTGTCCCTGGCACACAGCAGGCACTTAATGTCTGCTGGACCAGCGAGCCATCTCCCAGGAAGCCCCCAACCCAAGGTGCCCTGGCCTCAGCCCCTCCCCTGCCACACACCTGCCACCCCCAGGGCCACCTGCCCTGTCACCCCATCTTCCTGCTGAGGCTCTGTCCGGCTCACACTGAGCCAAGGCAGGGTCCTGACCCAGCCCAGCACCCAGGAGTGACAGCGAGGGACGAGACAAAGCACCAGGCCTCTGCAGATGGACAAATGGGTACAAGCTGTGACCCATCCCCTGGAGCGCTCTTGCCGTGAGCAGGAGCGAGTGGCTGCTGTGTGGACGGGCCTGGTGCTCAGGAGACCAGACACATGGGTCCAGGACAGGGCCGTGGTGCAGGGCTGGGGGCAGGGCCATCTTGGGGGTGACAGTCACCTTCTGGGGATCGACGAGCAGCTGGGCCCTCCTGCCGGGTGCGGAGCCAGAGCTCTGGACTCGCAGTGAGTCTCTGGGCTGGAATATCAGTCTGCGCTCAGTGAGGTCCTCGGGGGGCCCAGGGCTGCCCACCAAGCCCCCCGAGTTGCAGGGACACCTCAGACTCACACCGAGGGACCACTGCCCTGTTCCGTGGGGCTGGAGAAGCCAGGCCGGGGCTCCCAGGGGACTCTCCTGCAGGACTGTCGGCTCCTGGCTCTTCCTGACTCCGGGTGGGGCTTCCACCAAGTGCGGGGAGGGTGCTCAGAGGCTCAGATTTGGGAATTTCAGGTCAGAGCTACTCAACCTGAACGAAGAATGTGAGCGGGACACTGGACAGGGGTCAGGAGGCCTGGACTGGAGCCTCGGCCAGGCTGCGCAGCTCAGTGTGGCTGACCCATCCAAGCCTACCTTCCCCCTGGCCAGGCCGGGCTGGGCCGTGGTCCTGCCACCCACGTGGGCGGCATGAGGCCCTTCCTGGGGCTCTGGGTCAGAGTCACGCCCACTAAGGAAGGGCACTCCTCCTCGTCCTGTGGCAGGGGTCACCAGACTGCCCAGGCGGCCGCCGTCCACCCCAGGAGGCTGCAGGTCTGGCCCTCCCACCTGCACTCCTGTGGCCCTGCGGTGCCCCGGCCTGGCTGCCCTCGCTCTGGCCCTCACCAGCCCAGCTCAGGTCGTCTCTGGGACCAGTGACCAGCTCGGGCTGCCTCTGAATTCCTGCTGGAAACCCCTGGCAGGAGACAGCCACCATCCAAGACAGCGGGACCCTGCCAGGACCCTCCTGAGCAGGCTGCCCATCCCTGTGGGAGCTCTGACCACCACAAAGCTCTGGAGTCCGACCCAGGAGCAGCAGCCACACCTGTCATCCCAGTGACTCAGGAGGCTGAGGCAGGAGGATCTCCAGCCAGGCCAGCCTGGTATCCCCAGTGACACCCCATCTCAAATAAGATAAAAAGGGGCCAGCGCTACGGCACCCGCCCAGCGTGCCCGGCCAGGGATCCAGCCCCAGCACTGCAGGAGGGGAGTGGAGAGGAGAGGCGGGGAGGAAGTCCTTCAGTCAGGCCTCCCACCTGCCTCTGGTGGAGATGTTCTTGTCAGAGCCCCAGCTGGCCCCTTCCTGGACCTGCCCCTGGTACCTTCCAGGCCCTGGCTCCTCTGCTGCTCAGCCACTGCCCACAGCTCCCCGGGTACAGTCCAGGCCAGCCAGGATTCAGATCCCAGACCAGAGAATGTTCCCATCTCTAGATGCTTCCCACCTCCGGGCCTTTGCACACGCGAGCACCAGGTGCACCCTTCTGTCTGCACATACTTCATAGAAAAGGCCTCTGGTGGACGGGGCCAGGAGACCTTTCCCACACGATTTCTCTCTTGGTATCGGGATTGAACCAAGGGGGCGATCTGCACGGAGCCACATCCCCAACTTGATTTATTTTTTTTTTAATTTTGAGTCAGGTTCTTGCTAAGCTGCTGAGAACCTCACTGAGCTGCCCAGGCTGGCCTGGAGGGTGAGAGCCTCTACAGGCGTGGCCACTGCACCCCGTTTCCCCCACCTCTGACCTGGCAGGGGGTGGGAAGGTCAGCCAGGAGGGCTGTTACAGGGGCAGAGGATTGTTTGGGTGAACACAGGGCAGAAAAAAAGTCAGGGTTGTTTTTTTTTTTAACATTTAAAAAAGAATTTAGCTGTAGTTTTTATGTGGTGCTGAGGATGGAACCCAGTGCCTCACGCAGGTGAGCCCCAGCCCCGGCCCCAAAAAGCCACGTTTTTGAGAGCATCAGCCCCTTTCCAGCTTGGAGGTCCAGGTCCCGGGGAAGGACCTGGCCACAGGCTGAGGCAGACATGCTGGCACGGGGCGGTAGGAAGGCAGGGCCTCACCCCACCTGACAGCACTTCACAGAGAGCAACAGGCCCAAAGATCCCCAGGGAGCCACAGAAGTGATGGGGAGGGGGCCAAGAACCCCGCCAAGGCTCCCTTCCGCCTGGCTCAGAAAACTAAAAGAAGATGCCACTCGGTCTGATACCCTGGCCCCTCCGACCCAGGAAAGCACCAAAGGAAAGCTCCGGGGCTCCCACCCGGGGGGCTCCCTGGCTGGGTGGACTCCTGAGCTCCTTGACCTCTCTGGGCCCGACTGCGCAGGAACCAACAGGGTCACCCCATGAGGTACTCAGAGCTGGGCCAGGGAGGCAGTGAGCGTCCACCGAGTAAACAAGGCAGCCACTCTGCCCATCCTGCAGCCCCTGGGCTCCCAGTTGAAACTAAATGCCCTCCCTCTGGGGTAGAGTGCTACATGGTCACCCAGAAAACCAGAAGCTGTGGCCACAACACGAGAGCCGAGAAGCCCTGGGCAGAGCAGCGGTTAATGGAAGCTGGTTGTCACAGTCAGTCCTCACTGGATTCCTGCCTGAACCCACCCGCGTCGAGGGGGAGACCTGCGATTTCCAGCTGCAAGGAACCAGCCAGTGCCCCAGCAGACCCGGCCCAGGTCCCCGCCGAGGGCAAGGAGGAATCTGGGGCAGCCGGGGTCTCCCAGGGCAGAGGTTCCCAGCCCAGCACCTGCTCACTGCACCCTGCAGCTCACGGGATACTGGCTGTTTCTGTCAGACCCTCACATTGTCAATGAAAATTCACGTAAGCCTTAAACCACAGCATTTCAATGTCGTTCAGACCCTCAATGTGATTTCTGAACCCTCCATCACCCTGGGGGCCGGCCGCAGCACCCAGCCCYGCTCCAGGGTGGTGGGCCGGGAAATGGTGGTGATGGCGAGGTCAGCTGTCCCGTTCTGGCTGCCCTGCCTCCCTCCAGGCCCACAGCCCATCTCCCCCCACCCCCGGGGAGAAGGACCAGGAGTGAGGGCCAGGTGTCCAAGACAGGGCTGCCCCCATGAAGCCCCTCCCTACCCTCGGTCACCAGGGAGCTGGAGAGAGCTTTTTCCACGGCTGTCCACAGCGGCAGACACCCAGCCCTCCTTCCACCCAGACATAGCAACTGATGGCCCAGTGAGGGCCCCTGGCACAGCTGACCTAGGCCCCAGAAGCTGCAGAGCTAGTGTGGGAGGTACTGTGTGACCCTGGGGCAGCTGCTATCCCTCTCTGAGCCTCAGGATCTTCAGTGGGGAAGGAAAAGGGCGGTGGGAAAGGGAACAATGGGGTCCGACCCTCAGCCTGCTCCTCTGGGTGGGTGTTCTCCCTGCCTCCTGCCCCTGGGCAGCCCCCTCCCATGGCCACACCCTGCCCAGGCCCTGCTGTCAGGAGGCCTGAGAAACTCCCCTGGGCCAAGAGAGCAAAGCAGATAAACAGGCCTCGGAGGGACGGGAAGCCGGCAAGCCCAGGCCCTGGCTCCCCTGAGCCCCTGGCTGGGCTCCCGGGGCGGGTGGGGGGAGCAGGCCAGGCCTTTGTCTGTGTTTCAAAAGCAGAGGACACGGGTGTCTCTCCTTTCCCAGGCCGGGAGCATGGCGGTGGCTCCCACCCAGGCCAGGGTGTGGCGGGTCACGGGTGGATCCCAGGAGGAAAGTTACCACTTAGAAAACAGCCAGAGGGAAGGCTGGGGGAGTGACCTCTGGCCTGGACAGGCTGGCTGGACTTCCATGACAGCCGATGGGTGGGCATGGGGCCCAGAGGGGGGCACTGCTGACCCTTTCACAAGGTGGCACATCTGGACCACAGAAGGTGCGTCCCCCTCCACGGCCCAGGCAAACCCATCCGGCGACCTCCGGGGGCCACCTGTGTGAGTGAGGGGCCTGGCCGCACTCTCACTGGGAAGAGGGGACTGAGCCCAGATGACCACGCACACTCACTGGGCACCTGTGTCCAGAACACTCTGCTGCCAGCCGCTCCCCGAGCCCCCGGCCTGCAGGCTCCAGGACTCGGGCTGTGGGCCACACCACGGGGTCCCCTTCTTGGGGAAAGGGGCTCAGACTTCCCGAGGGGCGGGAACCAAACCCAAGCTTCCCTCTGGGAACGGCCCAGCGAGGCCCCTCCCGCCCGCACCACTCACGGCCAGCCCGGGCGCCGGACCTGGGCCTGGGCAGGGGCTCCGGACACCTGGCAGGCCCTGGGGGCGCAGGGTGGAGCCGGACTGGCCCAGCGCGAAGGCGCGTCCAGGGCGCCAGCCGCGGAGCTCGGGCGGGGGCGGGGGAGGGGTGCCCGGCCAGCGCCGGCCGTGCCCTTTGGGGAGGGGTCGTGCGGCTCCCTGAGGCCGCCCACCCACAGGTGGCCGCTTCTGACCGGGGGACGCGGGCGGGCGGGCGTACGCCTCCGCGGGGCCCGGAAGCCCCCAGCCCGGCCCCCCTCCCGCGGCCCCGGGGTCTGCCGGGGTGACCCAGGCGTGGCCCCTGGGAAGCGGGCCGGGCCCGGAGCCCCTCGGCGCCGCTGGGGCCGCGCGGGGGCCGCGACGCCCCCACCCGAGGCCGGCGTGGGCCCTCCGGGTGGCGGCCCGCGCGCGCCTACTCACTCCATCTCCGCGCGAGGTCAGGTCCGCGGTGCCGCTGCGGGGACGGCGCGGGCGGGCGGGCGGGCGGGCGGGCGGCTAGGGCCTGGCGGCCGGGGCTGCGCGGCGCGGGGGCGGCACCGGCGCGGGCATCGCCGCGCGCGGCGGGTATTGTCCGGGCGCGGCCGGGTGGGCTCGTGCGCGCGCCGCGCTCCCCTGCGCGCCCGCGCTGCGCCTCCTGCCGGCCGCCGCAGAGTCCCGGCCGCCCCAGGCTCGGCCGGCGGTGCCCAGACGGCTCCCGCCCTCGCCCCGCCGCAGCGTCGGACCGCGAGCCAGCGGCGCCCTCCCGAGGTGCCGGCGGGGCCGGGGTCGACGGGCCGGGAGAGGGGAGGGAGCCCCCAGGAGCCGGCCCGGAGGCCCCGCAGCCCGCCTCGGGTGGGGACCTCCCGGGGAGAGCCGGAGCCGGAGAGGAAGGACAGGGCAGCCTGAGGCCCAGCCCGGGCTCAGTCTGGACCCCGGCTACCGAATCCCGGGCGCTGCCCAGAGCGGCCGAGGGGCCACAGGGTCTGTGAGGAAGCCCTCTGGCCACCCCCAGGCCCACCCTCTGGGACCTGGGGCTGCAGGTCGGAGGTCTTCCAGAGTCCCCGTCGTTCTGCTCTAGGTGCTGGACTCATCCGTGCTGCTCTGGGCTGCAGGGAGCAGGCCCTGCACCTACTAAGCACCTGCTGTGTGCCCTACTCAGGTTAGGAAAGGCGTGCTTCCTTGATGCCCTTCCTAGGCTAGATGCCCAGGCTCCATGGCCCTGGAGACCCTGGGCTTCTCAGAGAGAGGGTCAGAGACCTACTCAACCTGCTTCTACCTCTGCCCACAATTAACCGAGACTCACTCCCCAGGGGGCTGTGTTTTCTGATAGGAGAAGAAAAAGACATGACCAAGATTTGATCTCTCCACTATATAAAGAGCACCAGAAACGCAATGACAACAGCAAGTCGACAGTATCATCATTCATGAGTCCTCACAGACTGTTGTCCAAAGACAGGGAAATCCATCCAGACCCTTGTGGGAAGACCCTTCAGGGTCCAGTCCAGCAGTTCTGTGCCACACCCTCTGCTCTGCAGCCCCAGACAAGCTGGCTCCCCTTTCTGGTGAGTTCAGGAACCTGCTCCTCAGGGTGCCAGGAGCTTCTTTCTGGGAGCACAGTTATTTGTTTTAAAACTGCTGTCAAAGGAGAAGGAAGTGAAACTGACAAAATCAGAGGCTTCAGCCCTGGCCCCTTGCTCCCTTTCTGTGTGACCTGATGAAGGAGCTTACCCTCTCTGGCCTGTTTCCCCTTCAGTCACACATGGAGAAAAACAGTGCTCACATCCTCCACATACCTGACACTGCAGGTGACACTGGTCCCCGCCCCACAGGCACAGGGCTCCCCGAGGTCTTCCACATCTCTGCCTCTGTGCTCCCCGTGAGCTGGGGGAGGTGGGAGCAACGCAGACCAGGGTACCCTGGTGCTGACTGCACCGTCCTCGGTCTGAGCCTCGGGGACCCTGGCACACAGCCTAGAAGGCCACCCAAGTCAGCACTGAACTACGTTTAGGCTCTGCCGATGACCAGGAGCATGTGTGCAGACCAAGGACAGGGCTGCCCGTGGGGTGGGCTGCAGGCACCAGGTGCAAGGACGGGGCTGCCCGTGGGGTGGGCTGCAGGTACCAGGTGCTGCAGCCTCTGTGCACTGCCCCCGGCCTCCCTCAGCAGCCCCAGGTCCTGCAGGTGGGGGCTTTGTCCTGACCCTTGGGAGCCCCATGTGCAGCTCCTCCTCCGGCTCCCTGGGTGGGCAGGCCAACAGAGGACCGTCCGCTCAGGACCGTCCACGGGCAGAGCCAGCACGGGAGGCTGGTCTGCACCAAGCTCCTCGGGCATTCCACACTCACGCCCCCTGTCCCTGCTCTGTCCCCTCTGTGGCCATCTCTCTCCTCTGTCCCCTCTGTCCCCTCTGTCCTCTCTGTGTCTGTCTCTCCCCCCCCTCTCTCTGTCTGTCTCTCTGTCTCCTCTGTCTCTCTCTCCCCTCTCTGATTGTGTTTCTCCCGTCTCTGTCTCTCCCCTCTCTGTGTCTCTCCCGTCTCTGTCTCTCTCCTCTCTGTGTCTCTCCCGTCTCTGTCTCTCTCTCCTCTCTGTGTCTCTCCTGTCTCTCTCCTCTCTGTGTCTCTCTCCTCTCTGTCTCTCCCATCTGTCTCTCTCTTCTCTCTGTGTCTCTCCCGTCTCTGTCTCTCTCTCCTCTCTGTGTCTCTCCTGTCTCTCTCCTCTCTGTGTCTCTCCCATCTCTGTCTCTCCCATCTCTGTCTCTCCCGTCTCTGTCTCTCCCCTCTCTCTCTCTCCCTCCCTCTCTCTGACTCTCTCTCTCCTCTCTCCCCCCTCCTCTCCTCTCTCTCTCTCTTCCCCCCCCTCTCTCTTCCTACTCTCTCTCTCTCTCTCTCTCTCTTCCTACTGTCTCTCTCCTGTTTCTTTCTCCTGTCTCTCTCCTCCCTCCCTCTCTCTGACTCTGTCTCTCTCTCTGTCTCTCTCTGTCTCTCTCTTCCTACTGTCTCTCTCCTCTCTGTCCCTCTGCCCTCCGTCTCTGTCTCTCTCCTGTCTCTGTCCCTGCCTCTGTGTGGCTCACTGAGGGTGGCAGAGTGAAATGGCACGTCCACACCATGGAGATGGCCTCACTGCATGGACCCCACCACTGCGATGGCCGTGACCTGCCGGTGCTGTCCCTCGGCACAGCCAGGACACCGTCTGCACCTGCAGGATGTCACCCCAGGGGACCGCAGTCCCCTGTGCCCAGCCCCTGTTGTGTGACCAAGGTGGCAGGGTCAGAACCCTCCAGAGCACTGTCTTCTTGTCCTCCCAATCCTGAGGTCAGCTGAGGCTGCCCAATGGGGACATCGATGCTTGAGTGGCAGGAGCTCGGCCACACCCAGTCAGGGTCAGGTCAGCCTGTGGGGAGGGGACTGCTGGTGTCCTGGGTTGTGGCCCTGTGGGGGTGCAGAGAGCCCCAAGGTCCAGAGGTCTGAGCCAGGTCAGCGGAGGCCCGGAGACCGGAACCCAGGCCCTGCAGCAGTCCTCCTCAAGGACCAGAGTCCCAGGGCCCGGGCACCTCAGGGCCAGCTTTGGCCTCTGCGCGGACGACAGCTAGGTGGCCGGGTTTCCCAGAAGCACCCAGCTGTGCCTGGGCGGTCCACAGCCTCCTGACCACAACCCACAGCCCTTTCCCCCCTTCCGGACCGTTGGGTGGGGGTGGGGCTGCAGCCCAGAGGTCTCTGTGGGAGAGGAGCCTGCCTGGCCATGGGGCCCAGGCTGGGGGACTGGGGGCGCCTGCTGCTGACCCTGGCCGCAGCCCTGACACTGCCTACCGGGGCCCCTGGTAAGGATCCCGACTCCCGCAGGGGAGTCCCAGGTGGCCCTGCACCTGGCCGTGGCCCTGGGGCAGCCACTCAGCTGGGGAGGGGACCCAGGTGGAAGGGGTGGCCCATGGGTGCCCAACCCAGGTGTACAGGGTCCCCAGGCCGCTGCCGACGCGCTCTCCTGCCCTTGTGTGTCTCTGCCGCTCCCCTACCCTGCCCTGTCCCCACCTGCCTGGTGCCCGGCCTGGCCCCTCACACAGCTGCCCCACTGCAGGCTCCCAGGGGGCGCACATCATCGGGGGCCGTGAGGTGACTCCCCACTCCCGGCCCTACATGGCCTCTGTGAGCTTCGGGGGCCAGCACCACTGTGGGGGCTTCCTGCTCCGATCCCGCTGGGTGGTCTCCGCTGCCCACTGCTTCAGCCACAGGTGAGGTTCTTCCTGACAGCAGGAGCTGGCCCTGGCCAGCAGGGAGCCGGGCTCTGCAGGGACAGGGTGGCCGCCACAGCTTGTCGGGGTCTCTCGGGACCCACCCAGCAGCAAGGAGAATGGGAGGAGGGGTGGCGAGGTGGTGAGGAGGCCGGGGGACGGTGACCCCACGTGGCTGCCATCATGGCTGTTGTGTGGACACTGCTCTCACCTGTGCCAGGTGGGGGCCGGACCACCCACCTGCTAAGCACCATGCTCACTCTAAGTGTGTCCTAGCCAGGATTCTGACCGTCCTGCAGCTCCTGAGACGTCACTGAGCTGAGGCCCAGGGCTGGGCCCCTGTCTTGGAGGAGGGTCTCAGGCCCCTGTTCTCTCCTGCCACTCTCCATAGGGACCCCCGAGCGGGCCTGGTGGTGCTTGGGGCCCACACGCTGCGCCCCACGGAGCCCACACGGCAGGTGTTCGGCATCGCGGCGGTGACCAGGCACCCCGACTACCAGCCGGCCACCCACACCAATGACATCTGCCTGCTGCGGGTGAGCAGGGCGGCCACACCCAGCGTGACCTCTGGATTTGTGTTTTGTGGTGCTGGGGACCAAAGCCAAGGCCTGGCCTGTGCCAGGCAAGAGTCCACCGCTGAGCCGTTAGCACCCCACGAGGCGGAGGGGCCCTGTGAGCACCTGAGCCAGTCACACCCCTCCTGGCCCGTCCCCTGGCTCCGCCCCCTGGCTCCGCCCCCACGTGCCCCTCCTCCCAGCCTGGCGCCTGGAGGACCAGGGATCTTTCCAGTATCTGCCCGGTGCCCTTCCCTGGCGTTTGGCAGCCCGCCCCTCACCTGTCCCCTGCTTCTGTCTGGCACCAGAGTCACCTGTACACCTGGGCCCTTGCTTGATGCCTCCTCTGGACCTTGATGGCCACCCAGGGTACAATCAGGTGCTCCATACTTGAAAGAGGGGATGGCTGAGGTCCAGGCTTCCATCAAAGACCGCTGCCTGCCCTGGGCTGCAGGGGCCCTTCCGTGGGAGTCCTGGGAGCCCTGCCTGGCCCTCCTGCCTGGCCTCTGAGTCCCGGGTGGACCCAGGTGTCCCCAGGGCCTGGTATTCGGGGGGAGCACACCCAACCTGCCCTGGGCCTTCGAGACACCCGCCCAGTTCCATGGACAGGTCTGTGGACAGGTCCGTGGGCAGGTGTGGGGGCCCCGTCCTTCCCTAGCCCATCAAGGAGGTCTGCCTGGGGGGCCTGCTCACCCGACACCCCAGCGCCCTGCACCTGCTGCTCACGTTCGCTGGGCCCCTCGACAGATGGGGAAACTGAGGCAGGCCAGCCGTCGGCCACGGAGTGCCTGCAGCACCCAGGAGTGAGTCCCAGCCCAGGGTCTGAGGATGGCAGCCCCTCGGTCCCAGCCGCCTCCCCGCTCTGCTGCAGCCCCCAGGACCTCTGTGGGCCACCGGCAGCTGCTTGGTTCTGGTTCTGGTTGTGCCCGGGTGCTGGGGCGGAGCCCCGGTCTCCCCCTGGAGCCTGAGTGAGGAGGTTCCCTGTGGAGGAACGGTGGCCCCAGCCGGGCATCATGAGGTGCCAGGAGGCCCGGGGAGCCTCAGCGAACCTGCCCTGGCAGGAGGGAGACAGGCTGGGGAACCGTCCGCCCGGTCCATGTTCACGGTGGACCCCGAGGGCACTGGGGAGCCACGGAGGGCTAAGAGCAGGAAGAAGGCGCAGGCTGGTGAGACGGAATCTGGTGGGCGCAGGCCCAGGGCACCTGCGGCGGCCCCGACGCCTCCTCTGGGCGCCGCGGTCCCAGGTCGGTGCGCCGTGGGCGGAGCCCTGAGTCGGCCTCTCCCCGCAGCTCAACGGCTCTGCGGTCCTCGGGCCGGCGGTGGGGCTGCTGCACCTGCCGCGGAGCGGCGCCAGGCCCCCCGCGGCCGGGGCGCGCTGCCGGGTGGCCGGCTGGGGCTTCGTGTCGGACTTCGAAGAGCCACCCCCAGGACTGATGGAGGCCGAGGTCCGGGTGCTGGGCCTGGACGTCTGCAATAGCTCCTGGAGGGGCCAGCTGAGCCCCCACATGCTCTGCACCCGCAGTGCGGACCGGCGGAGGCGCGGCTTCTGCTCGGTGAGTGCGCCCACCCACCCGCTGACTGGGGCAGAGCCGCCCGCCCAGGGTTCAGGGCTGGGCCGGGGCGGCCTCGGCGCCGGGTCCGGTGCTACGACCAGGAAGGGCGGGGAGTCCCCAGGGCCACCGGGGTGTGGTGCTCGGCTGGAGGGGTGCGCAGGCACGGAGCGGCACCTCCTGGTGCAGCCACAAGCCGTGTCCAGCAGGGGGCAGAGCCGGGCCACAGGGAGCCGCCCCTGCCCGACTCCTGGAAAACTCGTGAACGCGGGCAGCTCTGGGGAAAGGGCCGGGAGGGAGGGTCGTCAGCTCCCGGGAGGAGAGGCGTGGTGTAGACAGACTCCAGCGCCCACCCGCCTGAATCCAGTGCAGGCAGCGCCACCGCATGTCTCTGGCCCGCACTGCTTCCAGCAGTGAAACCGCTACTAGTAGTTCCTACTTCCTAGGGTCAGAGCTGAGTCCAGAGGGCAGTTAGGGTGGTTGGACCAGGGGAGATTTTAGGGTGGGTGTCCGGGAGGCCTCTCTGAGAAGAGCAGCGTGGAGATGAAATTTGAAGCCTTGAGGTCTGAGGGAAGGTAGGCCAGGCAGAGATGGCTTAGAGGACTAAGTACATTTGGGCAGGTGGTGCACTGCACAAAGATCACAGACTCCACTGGACAAACAGGTCTCTAGGATGTGCAAATGTGGGAAGAACCTGAGGCTGGTTTGGTTGCAGCCCAGAGGCGGCAAGAAGGGCAGAGGGCGGGCCAGGTTGGGTCCTCAGGGCCTGGAAGGCAGAGGAGAGCACTAGGGAGCTGCTGAAAGGTTTTAAAGCAGGGTGTGGGGTGTTTCCTTTAGGGAAACGAGATCCACGGCCCCTCACCTCCCTTCTTCACCCTAGGGGGACTCCGGAGGGCCTCTGGTGTGCATGGGCCGGGCCCATGGCCTCATCTCCTTCTCAGGCCTCTGGTGCGGTGACCCCAAGACCCCTGATGTGTACACACAGGTCTCTGCCTTCGTGGCCTGGATCTGGGGTGTGGTTCGGGGAGGCCGCCCCCCACCTAGGATTGCAGAGCACCGCCTGGGCGCTGCCTGAGCCACAGCCCTGCTGATGACCTGCCACTTGGACTGCAGCACCCCCTGGCGGGTCCCTGAAGCCCAGGCCCTGGTTGTGGGGCATCTCTGCTGCAAACGAAGAGAGCAGAATGGAACCCAGTTGATGCCTAGACACATGGGCACCAGCCTCTGCCACGGACAGTTCCGGGGCCCTACCGGCCAGTGTCTGTCCTGCCCACAGTCCTTTCCATCCTTCCATGCCCCCACTATCCGGCCCTCCCACCCTGGACCCCAGCACCCCTGCCRAGAAGGCCGAGGAGCCCACCAGTGTCCAGGTGGGGAAACTGAGGCTGGGGAGGGGTGGGGCTGCAGGGATGCTGGACAGGGGCCTCCCTATCTCAGGTGGGCCTGGCCTCCCAAGCCTGGCCCTCATCCTCTAATGACCACAGCGGGTGGCCAGTCACAGGAGGAGATGGCCCCAGGCTGTACCATCACATGGCTACTACTGCTGCACCCCAACTCTGAGGCCGGGATTTGTTTTTGAGCCCCCAGCCAGCTGGCTTCTCGGTGTTGTCCTGCGCTGTCCCCCACCCCTGCCTTCCCCACCCACAGAGGCCCCTTTTCTCCCTCCCCTCTCCTACCCCAGTCCCTCCTGCTGCCCTCCATTGCTTGGAGGAGGAGCTGAGCCCAGGAACACAAGCCCAGGCTTCTCTGGATGCTCCCAGGACTCCACTAGTCACCCCCTAGCTGCGGGGCAGCACGAGACCCAGAGAGAGGAGGCGAAGGCAGGCCTGGACACCCCAGTAGCCTTTTCAGTCTTTATTTCTTGGGTGAGGCAGAACCCAGGGTGGGGAGGGCTGCCCTGTGGGCTCAGTGGACCCCTGGCTCAGGATGCTCACTGGAACTTGCAGCACAGCTCTCTGGGCTGGAGAAAGATGGGCAGGGCCTCACTATCCACCTGGACCAGGGAGCTGGGCTCTGTGCCCACTGGTTTGCCTCTGGTCTCCAACACAGTCTGAGTGGAGGGTAATAACAGCCTCAGGGACTGGCTCCAGAACTAGCTGGTGTGGCCACCCCCAGCCCAGCTGACAGGTGGCTAGAGGCTAGCGGGGAACTGGGTCTAAAGCCCTGGCCCAGGCCTGCCACTGGGCAGCAGGAACCCAGCGCTGCCCAGGTCAGTCTTGGTCCCCACTCTTGGGGTAAGCTGGGGCTCGTGGTCCCCATCTGGTCATCCCTAAGTGGAGAGCACATTGCAGGACACAGGACACAGTTCTGGGTGAATGCTGGCTGCCCCACATCTGAGGCCATGGAATCTCACCAGCTGAAYCTCTGGGAGGTGCTGGGCAGGTGTGCCCAGACAGGAGGCATGGATGGGACCCTGCTCAGGCAACATGGGGGCATTTCTTAGGGCCCTCACGGGAAGTACTGGGAGGCAGAGGTAGTGGGGAGGCAGGAACCTGTAGTTCTTGGGCCGGGAGGCCACCATGCCACTTCCTTGGCCTTTTGCTGATCTGGTATGGGCACCTGCCCTGGGCCCCAGCACCGTGCTTTGAGGCCAGCCTCCTCACTTCTGTCCTGGGGAGGGGAGGGCCGCGGAGTTTCTCACAAACCATTAGCAGGGGCCGCCAGCGCGCTGGCGGTGTAACCGACAGGCATTTCCAAAGAAGCAGAAACGGGGTCCTCTGGGCAGGTACCTAGGATAGGGGCTGGGCTTCCCCAGGAGGTGCCCTAACCTGATGCTGCGTCTCCAGGGCAGCCACATCCACTGGCCCTTTGGGAGGTCTCCTTCCCTCCGCCCTTCCAAGACATCTTCAGCGCGCTCTGGGATCCCCAAGAAATCCCCACTCAGGTTCAGTAGTCCGCGGGACATAAATTAGATTCTGCTGCTGTGACAATAAATAAAAGAGGGACGGCCTCGAACCCCAGGCGGTGCTGCGGCAGCTCACACGAAGTTCTCCTCCTCCGACTCGATCTCCGACTGCTCCTCGCGAGCGCCTGCAGGGCAGGGAGGAGCAGAGCTTGAGCGCTGCCAGCCCGGAGGTTTGCAGAGGTTCCCAACKGGCCCCGCCTCACCTGCGCAGCTTCCAGGGTGGCGAACGCCGATGGAGCGACCCAGGAAACACGTGGCCTGGCGCAGGTGGCACGAGGAGATGTAGGTGACGTTGTTGTTGCCGCAGAGCTCTTGGCCGGGAATGGTAGGCGCCGGGCAGGGCGCGGATCGACACATCACGCAGTGCGCACTGCCGGTCTGGTCTACCACGCAGGACTGGGGCCGTGGGCACACCACGTGCACGCAGGACTCTGCAGGCCGGACGCGAGGGAGGGTCAGGGGCGTCACAGCTCCGAGAATCGCCGGATGGGCCCACAGCCTTGACCTCTCGGTACGCCCGGCCTGGCCCCTGAGGGCGCACGACTCTCCACGCGAGTGTGCCCTGGGACTCTACCGGGGGGCTACCCCCACGAAACCTGTGCGACTGCATCCAGGACCAAGCTCTGCCCCTCTCGCCTCACCCACAGGCCGCCCCTTCTGTACCAGCATCAAGCTCCACCCCTCTCTGCCCGCCAGCCCCGCTCTCCGGGTACCAACATCTGGTTCCGCCCCCTCTCGCCCCACTCCCGTAAGCTCCGCCCTCTGGCTATAACCAGAGCCGCCACTCTTCCCGAACCCCGCCCCCTCAGCCACCAAGTTCTGGCTCCACCCGCAGGTCCCAGTTTCTGGTTCCGTCTTCAACCCCTCCCCCGCTGGCAGCGCGAGGGAGCCGCACTGCTTCTTGATTCAATTCCCGAGACCCGCACTAGYGGAGACCCTGCCCCATCCCGGTGTGGTGCGGCAGCGCCCCAGTAYTCCACCGCAGGTCCGCGAGGCCCCGCCCTCCCCAGGCCCCGCCCCGCCCCGCATACTTTGGCAGCGGCCGGGGTACATGACGCGCAGGTCCGGGTGGCCTCGGCAGCGCGCGGCGCGCAGCTCGCACTCGTCGCGGTAGGTGGCGCCGTCCGAGCCGCAAACTTGCAGGCGCGCGGGGAGACCAGCGCAGTCTGGTGCGCACTCGCAGCGCGGGCGGCCCCCCAGCATGCGGCACGCCTTGCCGGGGCCACACTCCACGCCGTCGCACGAATCTGCGGGAAAGGACACGAGCTCTTAGGTCTGGGCGCCGCCCGGAAGGGTCCTCAGGTCCCTCATCCACGCTGCTGAAGGGCCGCGGCAGGGCCTAGGGCCGCGGCGTGTCCCGATCCTGGTCGGGAGCACCGGGACGCGCCCGCCCGGCGTGGAGTCTGCGCGTGGACCTACTGGGGGACCGGGTTTGTTCTGCGCCTGGGCGGAGACTTGGTGAGGAGCTTGGCTCCACGTGGGCGGGCGGGGGTCTCTGCCAAGCATCTGGGGTCCAGTGGCCGAGCTCCCCTTCCCTCCGCAGCGAGGCCGACGTCTGTTCCCCGCTTTCCGCGCGTTTCGGGGAAGGCCTGCGKGGCAGCTGCATCAGCCCTGGAAGGGCCTCCACCCGGGGCCTGGCACGGATCGGAGGGCACTCGCAGGTCTGTTCCTTCTGTGGCCAGGACCTCTCCAGGAGGTGTCAGTGAGGGCAGGTGTGATCCCGCCCCAGCCCAAAGAGCATTTCGTGGGGAAGGGGCCTCTCACAACCTCCTGAAACCGGGGCTCACTCCTGCAGCCCCGTTTCTCAGGTCTGGCTAGGGTAAGCCTCTTGCTGGGGCCCCCACCGCCCCCCTTTTGATGTTCGTAGCATCCTCCCTGAGGCCTGGTCAAGCTGTGGGGGGCGGGCGGACAGGAGCCCGGACCTGTAATGCACACCTGCCTGCCGCTTTCTGTTGCTTGGGTGTCTGGATCCTGAACTCTGAAGATTCCGGCCTCAGTTTCCCTACGCATAAAGGGGGTGGGGATCCCACCTCACAGGGTGAGCCACCTGGCCCAGGACAATGGTCAGAGTCCCCTCCAGGCATCATCATGTAGGCTGCACCCGGGCACCTCCCACCCCGCCCACATGCACATCTGGAACCACTCCGGTGGCTTCAGAAGGGAAAGGGAAAGGGGCCAGGTTCCCATCCCAGGGCCAGATGAGGTTGTGGGGACAGAGTTCTGGGCCATTTCATGCCCAGGTCAGGCACTTTCTGAAGTCTGTTCTCCAGAAGCCAGAGGCGGGGAGTCTGGAGAGCTCCGTGTGGCCATGAGTTCAGGACCACCCAGCCAGGCTGATCTGGGATTGATCACTTCTGAGGCCCCCAGTCTGAGCTCCCCGGCTTGGCCTTCAGGTCTGCAGCCCTGTGCCCCCCTCCTCCCAGCTCCCTGGCTGACTCTGGACCAGGGGCTCTGTGGTTGCACTACCCCACGTGGCTCAGCCCAGCGGACTCCTCCTCAGGCTGCAGAACCCAGCTCTGACGCACACTTCTTCACATCCTGCCCTGGCACCCTCTCTGGGCTCCTGCAACTTCAGCCTGACCACTGGGGACTAGGAAGGTCCTCCAACCAGCCCATCCTCCAAGGCAGAGGACTCTGGACTCTTTCATTCTGCTCATGATGTGATGCGGGGGGGCAAGATTTCTTAGAGCAAGGTCCAGAGGTACAAGCCTATCGAACATGCATAATCGGTGGCATTAAGGGCCCTGTGTGGGCTCTGGGAACCTGCTTTCCGGGAGCTAGGTGTGAGCCAAGTGGCCTCTGCCATTTGGGGGGTGGGTGGCAGAGCCATTCAAACTGAAGGCCCTGGGATGAAGCCGGGAATCTCCTGGGCGCACCCCACCCCTCAGGCCTGCTACTCCAGTGACAGGAAGCTTGCTCCTGACATCCCCCTGTCAACCCTGGTGGCTCTTCTTGCTGCTTCTGGGCGGAGCCGCAGTGCCCTGCCCCTGGCCCTGGCTTTGCTGGGGGCTCACCTCTGCAGGGCAGACAGTGGACGAGGCCGAGGAATCCCAGGAGGCTGATCTTGTTCCCTGGGTGGGTGAAGTTGGACCAAGCAGTGTCGATGCTGCCAGAAGCGCAGCACTCGGCCTGGCTCACGTCAGTCCTCAGCACCAGGCTGCAGGTGGCCT